ACTCAATCGTGCAATCTATATAACTTATCAGCCACCCTAATCTCAGACTTACTTCACCCTATTTATATGCAGGACTGGTGTAGGTTTTAATGGTCTTCTTCTTGTACATAATATTCTTTATGTAACAATCTCTTTTGATATATAGGACACAGATTATCTTTAGAACATAGAACTTAGTTAGAAAGATTTGCGTATTCGTGTACGTACTTGGATTGCCGTCGAACTCGTTGGACATGCATTAAACATGCATTATGTATTTAAACATTTAGTAAAAAGAGCTGACAGTACTCATTATAATAGTTAACAAATAGATAATGAAAAGGGAATATGTTGAAAATTTCATTAAAATTACTCCATTCAGAGCGGAGTTATTGTCGGTTGCAGAAGAGTGTCGATTGCAGATTGTCATTACAGAAAGACCTACAATAGGCAGATTTAGTTCTCGAATAACTCCCCTTTAAATAAAGGCAATTTCAACATTATCCGTACGCGTTTTCGCCGGCGAAACAAGCCGTCTAATGCAAATATAATGGGACCTTTTCCATGTAAACGGTGAAAACGCACTCGAAAACGCGGACATGGATGTCCAGATGTTATGAATTCATCCAATATATGATTGCTGTAGCTGATTTTACAATACCATGGACGATATCAATAATTCAGACGTAATGCATAATTACTTGACGTTGTGGCGGTGACTATTCTACGTTAAATTTAACCAGAAATGGAACTCGATGAGACATCATTAAAGGAAATGTTCCTTGAATGCAATTCATATTAGACCATGATTGCTCTGGATTAATACTTTTATAATAATTACATTAGCCTCGATGGCTCCATGCATCTCATAAATTTACATGGTTTGCCGTACTTTTAGCTAATCGATATACAGACATCTTTCTTTTAATTCATGATTTGTGATGACGGCTTATTTTATATCCCTTTGAGTAATGAATTTGTGTTTATGATACGAGTAATCCAAATTAAACATTTAATGATGTAATAAATGAAGAGCTTATAGGGTCATATAATACATGATATGTGTTGGCGATCACAATTTCTTTTACAAAGTTTTTTCAATAGTAACTGCAGGAGGACCGCGCAACAGAAAAAAACAACGGACAAGACACACAATATACCCACAGTTCCATGCGCAGCACGCCAAGAAATCGCCGTAACAGACCGTTTCATTGGCTAATCCCTCATATCAATCAGAACGCGGGTTATATAACAGCTCTTCCAGATCCTAGTGTAGTAAAGACAAGTTAAACGAAATTTTGAACTATAAAAAACGAAACGAAATAGGATCTGTGTATTAATCAGATTGTGTAACAGAAAAGTCCCAATAAGGGAGATAACCCACAACGAAAGGGGGGAATACGTATCAACAGTTGTACTAGTCTAGTTTGAGTATGATCGGAAACCTCAAAGTCCGCACATATATTATTCAACTTTACTGCACAGTATAATTAATTATAATCAAAACATATAACAGTATATCACAGTATTTTTAGACCACAAAGGAAATACTGATTTCAGACCACATACACACAACAAAAGAAAATCTTATCAACCAACATTAATATAGTCCCGAAAACTATGTCGAGTTTCCATAACTATATGCCGCCATCATTTTATTTCGTATACCGCTATCTGAACGATAATTCATTTCTACCCTTAAACATCGACTAGATTACTGTTCAGTCTTAGTTTTGTTAAATTCTGGAACTACCTTTAGGTTTGTTTACCAATTTTGTATTTTCAGCGGCGATCGTCTTCCATAAGCATACACTTTTACTTATAAATGAAATGAAATGAGGTTTAACGTCCTACTATTCTGCTCCGACTGGGCTAATGAAAACGGGCAAATTTGCATACAATGTGCTATGAAGGAAATTTTGCCCGAACAGAGGCGCTTCTGCCTACTCTTATATCGAATTCCAACGGCCACGGGATCTTTTACGTGCATGCCATTGTGTACACGGAACCTCAGATTTTATTTACATCCGAACGATTATACAGTTGTCTTTGTCAGGCTCTTCGTCCTGCACCGCCGACGAGGGGAAACCACACCGGAAAATCCCGATGAACCCATACACTTTTAATAAGCAGTTATAAATGTTAACGCTACTATTTTGTGTATTGGGGGAATTCTACTCTGACTTCGTTCTCGGTGAACAATGTAAATTCTGTAATAAATTTCCCCCGAGATTTTAGCGACTAATATTCTAATGTTAATTAACGGAGTGGTGTCTATATTTCTACTAATTGTTGACAAGTTCAAAGCATTTATGTTCCATGTTTGAAATGTCGAAATAGCGTGTTGGTAAATATATTTGGTGAATGATTGGCCATTTAAGAGAATGAGCAAAATTAGGTTGTGTGATTCGTGTAGCGTGAGGGTATCCTTTTGTAGTTAACACCGTTGATATTGATATTCCTTGTGGATATACGGGTTGATTGAATTGCCATGCCTTTTCTCAGATTAACACATGGAATCATCATTGTTTCTATATAATTTAAATAAAGTATAATCTTAATACTACATTATGATATCATCCTGGAAACTGAACAAATTTGGTTGCATTTGAAGTTTCAGCGGCTATGAAGTGGGGTGCCCCGTAGTCAGCTTTAACATCTGATCCAAAATTATCAATATTTTTTTAAATCAAAAACATTCATTTTGTTTAATTATTACGAACTTTAACGTAACTTAAAATAAACTTTCTGAGTGCTATATATAATAAGAATCCTGTTATATTGTAGTGAATGAAGTGGGTAAATTCTGTTCGCAGAACTCCTAAAGACCTGTATCCGAGTCATATACAACTATATGATGCGTTGTGGTATTTCCAGTTGCCATTTTTGGCTGGCGAGAAGTTCTCAAGGTCCACACTATTCTGGATAGCCATATCTATGCCCTTCCCAAAGTGACCGTAGCTATTGCCACGTCTCGCATACAATTCCTATCAAATGAGTTTCGCTACTCCATTAAGAAATAATAGCCATAATTTCCGAGTGGCTCAATATTTTGATCTGAACTTTCCCACTGACTATTTGGACGAACCCTTTACATTAACGATGTCTGGTTTGCATACTTTTATTCACAATAACAACTGTCGTTATTGTGCTCAATTACAAAAATAAAGATATATTCATAAAGCTGAAATTTTACAAGTTTTAGTAAAGTAGAGGAAGGATTGGGACCGGAGGGGTATTAAAGTTTGAATTTACTACACACGTTTTGAAGCCATCTGCTATATGAGTAGTTATTATCGTCTCTGTCCCGTTAAAGAGTTAAAATTGCATCGGGGGGGGGGGGGCTTCTCTTTTTATTCAAATCAGGGAGTTTGGGTGGCCGAATGGTTAACGTCGTGTGCCCGCTGGATCAGAATGTCTGTCGATTCTCCACTTGTATGTGACAAGGAGTAGGGTCACCTGTCCATCCTCGTGGATTTCTCCGGGTACTCCGGCTTCCTCTCACGGCTAAAGACCCCCACGCACATGTGAATTATTGAAATAAAATTGAACCATATGTCTGTCCCGAAATGACCTAGTTTGTGTCGAGTGGATGTTAAAATCTCTCTCTCTCTCTCTCTCTCTCTCAAATCAAAATAAGCGATAAATGACAGCATGAAGAAGTTTTGTGTTATTTTACAACAACTATGCGTCTGTTTATGTCTACTGTTATTTTATATAACGGAAGTAAACAGGAAGACTGTCAGCTTAAAACAGTTCTTATACACGGATGTCTGGCTAGATTACGACTAGTTACTGTCTCAAATAAGATTCCGCTGGTCAAATTAGTTCGGACGTTCTCACTCCCAGGGGATACTAATTGTATGGCTCCACATCAGACGAACAAGCGGTAATAATGGCTCTGATCAACCACAATATTTAAAACTCCAGACGAAATAGAAAGGCTTTTATGTTTTGTTCTAATCTCTTATTTGATTTAGTATCTATATTTACCTTTTAAGGAATTGCTCGTCCATCAATCTTAACGATAGCCGTTCTTGGAAAGTTTCTAGCTGTGCGTGCTGATTGTCAATCAGTTTGAAGACACGTACCTTTAATCGTCGCATTTTGAGAGACAAGACAATGTTTCTACAAGTTTTCGAGTTTTAAAAATGCCACATTCCATCAAGACTATGTAATTTCTGAGGTTGTATTATGGAGCCATAATTTGGGAAGCTATCAAAAATTGCTCTTAAATTTCCAGACGTATCATTATTTCTTGTTGCGCTGTTTCTATTGTTGATGACCATTATAGGGTTGGACACGGACAATACGTCTTCATAACATATCCTAGAACATTAAAACACGTGGGTGGAAACAAAATCAAATTCAAAACCTGCGACTGATGATGTGTGATCTTTCATTTGTTCTAATGGATATTTATACTGCTTCGGATGATTTATGCCTATTACACAATTTTTATACCCCGACAAAATGACCGCTCCCTGTACGCAACTATTGGAAAAGTGTGTAATATTAATGGGGGGGGGGGGGTCCTCTAGTGGTTTAACGCATGTGCGTGAAATCACACGATCTGCCATTGAGTTAAGTACCGTGTTTTCAATTCCCCGCTTGAACGCGAGAAGGAGTAGCGTAGCCTTTCCATTAAGCCCCATTGTAGTTTATTTTAAGAGTGGCCAATCATTCGACCACAAAACATTGTAGTTCATTTTAGGATAGGCCAATCATTCGACCACAAAACTTTGTAGTTCATTTTAGGATTGGCCAATCATTCGACCGCAAAACTTTGTAGTTCATTTTAGGATTGGCCAATCATTCGACCACAAAAGATTGTAGTTTATTTTATGATATCTTTCTTCGAAATTGAATAGGTCACTCGTTGGACCACAAAATTTATTTTTACCTGAAAATAAGATGATTTTTAAAAAGATATGTCAGAAATAACTTACACCGGGTTTCTCCCTCTCTAGTATAATATGTAATTAAACTGAATATTTATTGAGATTTTATGAATATTATAGGTTACATGGAATAATACTCAGGATGGAGATGCTAGTTATTCTAATGAAAGAGAAATGATAAACTGTTCAGCTTAGCTGTACATGGATTGAAGTTGGATAAAAGACTCAAAAAGAGAGTCGCCATGGATACAACGATAGCCCCGGTCCTTTACCGACGTGACGTCACGAGTACCGATCTACCATTAGATGATGTATTTACAACGGTGAATTCCAGCAGCGTTAACCAAACGGAACCAACTCACACATTCATTGAGTTTTATCGGGTAAGACATTATACTAGTACTATATATATTGTTATGGGGTGTGTGGCTAAGTGGGCCTCCCTTGTCAGTGATGCAGGGCGGAGGGCCTGACAAGGACAGCTGTCTAGTCCTTCGGATGAGACGAAAAACCGAGGTCCCGTGTATACATTGGAATGCACGTAAAAGATCCCTTGGCAGTTGGAATTCGATATAAGAGTAGGCGATAGTGCCGCTGCCCGGGCAAAATTTCCCTTATAGCACACTGTATGGCGTATGCCCGTCTTCATTAGCCCAGGTTAGGAGCAGAACAGTAGGACGTTAAACCCCATTTCATTTCATTTTCATTTGTTATGGGGTGTAATTGTTTCTTGATGATGCTTCAAACATATATATATTCAGATCACAAGCTCTGGCCCTGATTCCACGAGAGCACGGGACAAAGAGTAGGGTCGTCTGTCCAAACTCGTGGGGTTTCTTCGAGTCCTCAGATTTCCCCCAACAGCTAAAGATTAGGGTTGGGTTAAGGGAAACCAGACATCCAAACAAACTTGCAAAACCCGAAGTAAAATTAAGATGCTGGGATCATTTGGGTGACTGTTAATAACCAAAGTCTCAGTCGCTAATATGAACATGATTTGTATGTTCATCAACTATACTAATATTGAGTGGAGTCTATAAGATGTAAAATGTATCTTTTCGCGCTGGCGAGCAATTGTTTAATATGACAATGTGCTAATCGAAATAGATTTATAGCCTTGCATTATTCTTGATGTTGATTATTAATTTACATGCAACTCACTCAAGCAATACGTCACTCCATGGCGTCCTGGGGCTATTTTGGTTGCCAACATAATAAAGAACTGGTATTTTAAATGCTTTACTTCAGAAATGTGTGAGTTTTAAGAACCCAGTAAGCTGTTTATATTTCATGTCAAAAGATAGGAAATTAATGTTTTGCTACTTAAAGATAACACCAATCGTAAGGAAAAAACCCTTAATTTCTATAGAGTATTTTATATGATCTTCAAGGTTATTTAACAAGCAGAAAGTGTCAGTCATAGTATCAACAGACGATAAACTCAGATTACATCAACATAAATTCTAGCCAAATCACTTTAACGAATCGTTTAAACCCATGTCATTTAGCATATATGCACAGATTAGCCATTACTTTGTTGTAATTGGCCATAGGTAACCGATTGAATGATACTATTTGGATCCAGCTATAGGGAAACAATAATACCAGACCAGTCTATTACTTTTGTACTGTTGATCAATAATCTAACGAATTGTAATCTCATCATGTAATTAGGCATGCAACCAACACTTAATTCCTCATAATAAAAGATGATAAATTCTTCAGCTCCAAATACCAAAAAAAAACCATTGAATTTTTCATTACCTAAGTACACACGTGTCTAAGTTCCCAGATAAACAAGAAGTATTCAGTTTTCAGACCAAAAGAATTGTCAAAGAGCGCAAATTGCATTTTACCCTGAAACGCAGACAAACGTGATATTAGATTTTTTTGAGTTATACCTTCTTCCGCTTGGCGGATTTCTTTCTCATGCCGTATAGCTTTTCAGACTAGAAAGATGTACTATATATACATGTGCTCTCAATTTTACCTTTTCTGCTGCTCTCAAACCACGCCAACTAGTCAGTCTGTGGGGTTATACTATTCATGTCCATTTCATATTGCATAAATAGTTATAAAACTTCAAGAGGGTAAAATTACCATATCCTTTATTTATATATATATATAAAACGTATATTTGTCAAGACTTTAAAGAGCTAGAATGAATGTATTTGGCGACATCCGCTCTTTTCCTACTTCTTTCAGTCTTAGGTGTTTTCATCAATCGTTGATAGATATAGCTGCGACAATAAGTATATTTGTCAAGACTTTTAAAGTGCTAGAATGAATGTATTTGGCCACTTCCGCTTTTTTTCTACTTCTTTCAGTCGGATATTTTAGGCGTTTTTACCAGTCTTTCATAAATCATTGCTGTTCCAACTAGACTGTATTGCGTGGACAGATGAAACAGAAATAGAAATGTCACATAGTATAACAAATTGCCGCGGATATTTTATTTTTTCTCGGAAAGATCACTACAGGTGTTCAAATTATTCTATTTTAGCCACCTATAAGGTCGATAAGACTATGGTTGAAACCCAACCCTTTTAAATATCCCATAACGTCCCATTTCGTATTTTCATTATCGTTTACTAATTATAAATGTCAGGTATATGTGGGTCATAGACAATCTATGCTTCATTTGATTTTAAAGACCGTGTTCATCATTTCTTCCCCTGATTTATGGGGAAGCCACAAATAGCAGCGTAAACGCCCAGATAACTTAACTCGGGCGATGGATTAAATAATATGGTTTTAACACGTTTTAGGTTTAGAATTACAATTACGTTTAAAGGGATATTTCCAAATATTACAACAGTGTTTAATGATGTAATTTGCTGTGGAGACGTAAGTTGAAATTGTCAGCTGTCAATGTCAAATATCGGAACATGGTATGTGTAAGTTTTTCGCACAATCGAATCCATTTCGCACGATTCTTAAGTTTGTGTGGCTTAACGTCCACTTTCACCTGCTGTCTCCGCAGGAGTGATTATTATTATTATATAGCCTTAAATATCCCAAGGTTACCAAATTTGCCAATACCCGTTTATTTTATTTCCATATTTTAAAGAAAATTACTTTATTTATGAAGTGTTCGTCTCTTACTTCGCCATATCCAGTAACATTATATGTATCTTTTCGATAGGCTTATTCGTGACAGGAAGGAGGGTCATCCAAGGTAGAGAGGTAAAAAAGGGGTGAGGATTATCTTGTAGAACACGGGGAAGGGTAGTGGGATCATCTGGTACTTTTAATATAACGATGTGAAGAAAATAGTATTACATATATAGTATACTGTATAATGTTCTTGACAACATGGTATAACACTGTATAATGTTCATGATAACATAGTATCAGTCAGTATAATGTTCATGATAACATAATAGAACACTGTATAATGTTCTTCTTTTTTAACACAGTATACTATATAATTTTCTTGTATACTGCTTAATGTTTTTGTATTACACATTATACTGTATAATCTTCATGATAACATAGTATTACACATATATATACTGTATAATGTTCTTGATAAAAGAACCCCAGTATAATTCTACAGCCCTCGGCTCTTTAAAACACGCAGTATAGCATACTGTTAGCTTGATGGATGACTGCCAATTGTGACAATAGGCCCTGGAAGCTTTGTTTGAACATGGATTGATGTTGTGAGATGCCGCGTATCTTTATATCACAACATTTCAATCATACGTTTGAAGAATTCTACAAAAATATAACTGGTAAGGTAACTCCTACATGGCTTGACTTAATAAATTGTACTCCTTCCTTGGTTACACCGTTTCTTTTCATGAAGAGTACAGAAATAACTTGATGAGAAAAGAATTGGAAGCGAATCTCATTATGCTTTTACATGTTTTGAGAATCTATGCAGTGTGAAATCGCTTATAGAATTACATGGTTAGCTTGATTTTAATCACAGGTAGAGCCTCTGGGTAACGGTGCACATGTTCCTGTGGAATATAGTATTTTAGCATGTGCTTTTGTCTCAAAACTCTCTGCCCTGAACCCGACCGTATACATGTATAGTGGTATTATTGAGGAGAGAGAACACAATACCGCATTTCTTTGCAAAAATTGATCCCTAAAGCTGGCTTCGGTCATTTTGAGAGGAATATATAATCTTAAAGACACATTATGTAGGAGATAAATCTGCCTATTGCGGGTATTTATTTTGGCATCAAATGTTATAAGATTTAAATGATTTAAAACACCCGCGAGATTGAAAATTTAACGAAGAAATGGAAAACCTAGACTTAGCCTCCATCTTCATGTACCGTTGCTACGATAATAGACAAAAGTAATCTTTAAAATCAAAAACGAAATTAATTAAACCTTCCCGGTAAAATACGGCTTCATAACGTGACTAGGTTCTTGAAGTATGTTAACGAGTTTTATCACCTTATTAACCATTGCTATACTTGATTATAGTCCATCAATATAGTCAGTAAGTTTTTACTTAGTACTACTATTATTAGGCCTTTAAGTGATATACATAACTCAAGTGGGCTAGGTTTCAAGTACATTTTTCTGTTTAGTCAACAGTACGGTACTCGGAGGAAGAGGGGGTAACTAACTTTAATATTAATTCTCATTTCTTAGACCGGCTCTAAATTTTTCCCAAATTTTTGTAGGGGTTGAACGCTCTCTACCATAGATGGAGCAACATGTGGCAACCTCTTGCGCAAAAGCAGGGATGAGGTTCACCATGTAAAACGTGAGATACACAAACTGAAAGTAGCATACAAAAAAAACATGCAACTGTCCGCCCTACATTTCAACCTGACCAACCACTTAACTCGCGTATCCTTCTGCTTCAAAATCATAATTATTCACCAAAACCTGACAAAAAATGTATATCCAAACCCTTTTCTTCGATTCTCCACAAAAAAGGTCAACAAAGATCGCCATGCAAAGGGGGGGGGGGGAAGGAAGAGAAATACTAAAAATTAACTTACTTTATGAGCTGTGTCCACCATAAGGATTGGGATTCGTTGGGATGGCCTAATGGTCGCGCTTAGAGCTCTAGCAGAACGGTCACCTCTGGCGTGCGGTCGTGGTTTCATTCCCTGGTGTGTGCGTATAGGGCTCGGGGATAATAGCGCCTTCTTAACCTCGTGGGTTTACCCCGGGTACCCCGTTTTCCTCCCACAGGTAAGACCCCTGTCCGTGCGCTAGATGATAAAAATGAAATTAAGACAACTTGTCTGCGATAGCACCCTCGATGGAAGCGGACATTAAACACCTAAGTAAATGTAGCTATGGTTAATGAGTTTATAATGCATACAATCCAGTAATATGCCTCGGTAATATTAATGTTTTCTTTTGTTATCCGCAAATGGCGATTGCTAGTTTGGGAAAAATAGTG